ATTCTAATTGACAATATGTGTTCCCTTCACTTGCCCTACCCACCCCCGCTTTTTCTCTGCTATTTATTTGTACCTTGGACCCTTAAATCCATTCATCTGAAGAAGTGGGTTGTGCCCATGAAAGCTCATGACACCATCTACATTTTTGTTAGTTTCTAAGGTGCTCCAGAACTATTCTTTTTTTTTTTAATTACAGACTAACACGGCTACCCCTCTGAAACTTTTGTCGCCTTGAGTAATGCGGTACTGGGCTAGTTCGGGGAGGGAAGGGCCTGGAAGCCAACTGGTTCCTGTGTCAGACCTCTCTGGGGATAGATGGCCCCTTTTGGGATTGGACAGACCATTCAGTCCCTGCAGTTGGATCTCTGCATCCCACCCCGGCTATGTGTGGCTGTCTGAATGGATTCCTTGGTGTGCTGTGAGTCTCACCAGATCACCATTTGAGGGGATGGAGAAGAGGTTTTCCCACAAGACTGGTTCATATCAGATTTGCTTCTTTCTCCTACAGCTTGCCGGGGTGGCCAGTCTGTTTGGACAGTTACAAGGAAAAGAACATGAACATTTCAACACTCCCTTCCCCGGAAAATCCTTTATCACAATTGACTGCCCATGTCCAGTGCATACAGATGAAGCAAGAGGGGTTAGCCAGCTCCTGAGGTAACCTAGACTTACTGAGGTACCCAGTAGGCCACTGAAAACACCTCAGCTTGCTTTGGGAGTGAGGTTTGCCTTAAATCTGATACAGACTAAACCAGCTCTTACGGATATCCACCCACCCGCCTGCTAGGGATGTGTAAAGGATTCCAGCACAGGCTAAATCCCTGACAGAGTGGGTGGGGCTAGCTCTGTCTCCCTGGTGATCTACTGGCTAGGATAGAGCACTTTCATTGCTATGGCCTGGGTTCAGTTCCCACTCAGGTAATGCAGCCTTCCCTCCCTTCTTGGTTAAATTCAGTAGCCCTGGACCCATGGGTGGTGGGCAAAGGTAGCGGTTGGGAAGGCAATCCCACAGCTCCACCCCAGCCCCACCCCTTCTGCCCTGCCCCCTATGAGAGCCAAACTGTCCCTCTCCCCAGCACCACAGAAAGGTGGGGCAGCGTGCAGCCCCAGCCTCCCCGGTCCCAGATTGGGCGGGCACTCGGGAGCAGCAACACTCTGCTCCCAGTATGCATTCTGTAGGCATTCTGGGGATGGAGTATGGGTGAGGCCAGGCTGGCAGTTTGGGAAGGCAGTGCCTTCCCCTGCCTCAGATACCCGTCGCTCCTGCTTGGACCCAAATAATTGCCTGGCAGTTGAAGGGCTGGGAGAGAAATGGGAGATTAGTTTCAACTGTGGCCTGATGATACATTAACCTAGTTTCCTCCTCTGTGACCTACATCCTGAGAGCCCTGAGCAAAAGGAGCTGCCCTGTAAGCATGTAGACTACACAGGCAATAGTACAGTCCTGAGAAAAGATAATGTGCTGCAGGAAGATTCATACATATGCTGCAGAACCTTGAGGCTACGTGTACAGTATTTCAAAATTACTAAATTCGACTTAACTCCTGATTTAACAAATTCAAACTAGCATGTCCACACTACAGGGAAGCATCAAAATTAGTCCGAAGCAGGCTCTGGTCATGTGGATGTGCTACCTCAGACTTAGAGCCCCAGGAAGCACTGGGGAGTACTTATTTCAAAATAACGGCAGCGGAGCATCCACACTACCGTTATTTCAAAATAATTATTTCGGAATTAGCGTTCCTCCTGATGAAAAGCAGGAGCACAGATTTCGAATTCTGTGTCCTGTTATTTTGAAATAACAGGCTTGGTAGTGTGGATGCTCCGCTTATACATTCAACCAGGGGGCAGGTATTTTGAAATCAAGTCCTAGTGTAAACCAGGGCTAAGAGCTCGCTCACAGGGCATCTGGACAAGCAGACAATGGACACGTGATCACTGAGGAAGGGACCAAGAAGTTGATATTCACAAGTGCTGAGCAGCTCCCTGTTGAAGTCAAGGGGAGCTGCTGGTGCTAAACAATGAAAAATCTGTCTCAAGCTGATGCCTCTACATTTCCTGTTAGAGCAGGAAGCCAAGTCATGGGATGACTGGGTGCTTGGTCCAACCAAGGGAAAGATGCAGCGGAAAGCGTGACAGAGGTTTAAATGGGAACCTCCTGAATTTGTTTACTGAAGGTTGGCATCTTGAGACGGATCTCATTCCTGAGATTGCTGGAAAGAACAAAGGGTTGGTAGTGCAAACCTCCCCAGAGCATCTGACGCTTTCAGGATGTTCCCAAGGTGATCTAAACTTGAGAGGCCTTTGATAAGCCTTGAACAGACTTAGATAAGCAAAAATGATCACTCCATGTGTCTTTGAATGTACAGAGTGTTCTTCCCTCCTGCTAAGTGGGGGAGAAGGGGAAGAACAGCATCTTCTGTACAATCGCCTGGTTCTTCTTCGCACCTACCCTCTGAGCTTTGTCATAAAGTTAAGAAGTTCAATTTAACTTTCTTCCTCACTTGTATAGGGGCCAGTTTCAAAAGAGATAGCAGCAGGCTACTGTGACTGCCCCCTGAATCCTGCTACTAAAACATCACAGATCAACGCTCAGCCAACAAAAATAGAAGTTAGCAGTAACAGCACAATGCATTTTAAATTTCCCTCTAAACGCATGGCATTTTCTCTAGTTTCAATCAGTTTTCAGAGCTGCACTTGTAGTTATAAAAAATAAATGCCAATGATGGACAACGCGCACATATGCCAACCACCAGGTACATGGCCACTTTATCCACCTCTGCAAAGGTCTTTGAGACCCTCAGATGAAAGGTGATATATTAAAAGCAAAGTATTAGTGCTCTCCCCCTATTTTTTTTTTTAAGGAAAATAGTTTTCCATCTTTCTTTCTTCACTACTTAATTTAATTTTCTCATTCTGAATAAGTGCAGTTTCATCCACTTTCTAAGGGGAAAACTTTGGGTACTTTAATAGCTTTTAAATTAGCTCCGATATGCATGAACTAACTGCTCAATAAGTGTATTTCTGGCTAGAATTAAATAGGAAGTCCTGCAGGCAAATAAACTAATTTGATCAAATTATATTATTAGAGGCAAAACATCTTTACATGCTATCTGAAGTACCTGAATGCTAAGGCTAGGTTCTGAGTGAAACTGAGTCCCATTGGAAAAGCAGTGATTATGAGGTGATCTAATATACTTCCAGAACTAGAAAAGATGACAGCTTGCACACAAGGAATTTAAAAAATAGCCGGGCATGCAATTGTAACGGTATCCCACATATGTTTGGCTATGTCTACACTGTGGAGTTTTTCCGGGATACTGGAAATTTTCCGGAAAAGCTCTGCTGCATCCAAGGAGCACTTCCGCTTTTTCCGAACAGTTTCTGAAAAAGTGGACGCGTTCTTTCGGCATCCCTGTTTTCCTCATTGTATGAGGAATAAGGGATGTTCCAAAAGAGGAGGTTTTTCTGAAATTTGGGCCCGTGTAGATGGACCAAAATTCGGAAAAGCCTCTTCCAAAAAAAAAATGGAAAAAGGTTCGCAATTTGCATATCTTTTTCTAATAGAACTCGGCAGTTTAGACATAGCCTTAGTTTGTATTAGCAATAATTAAAAATTTGTGATCAAAATATTTTTAACCAAAAACCAAAAAACACCTGTTGTTCAAAGAAAAATGTCACCAAATATCCCACGGGTTTCTTCAAATAACTTGTTTTTTTAATGGAACCTAAACATGAAGATTTTTCTGTTTCCAGATTTTCCTCACTCATCCAAACCATCCTCCCAATGACAAAATGGAAGAGGGAGGAAAAGAGGGAGCAGAGGAAAAAATGAAACAGAAAGAGGTGAGAAACCCAGAAAAATTTCAAAACACAAATACTATAAACTTCAAATACATGAAAAAAAATCTGCTCTTATTTGAAAACTGTGGCATGAAAATAAATTCAACATGGCGGGGGAGGGGAATCTAATTATTCCCTTTTCAGGTATCATCTGGATTTTATGTTTAGTTACATAAAAGCAATTGAATTCAAGAACAGAGAGGCCTGGACCAGTAACCCAAACCTAGGTTTTGAGTTTTCGGTTTCTATTCCCACTCTGCCACTGACCTTCTGTGTGCCACTGGACAAAGCAAATCATTTAATCTCTGTACCGCTGTTTTCCCACTCTCTGTTTGTTTAGATTGTAAAGTCTTTGTGGAAGGAACTGTGTCTGAGGACATGTACCGCACCTCGCACAATGGGGATCTAAATTCAGAGCTTTGGCTTTCCTGACATATAAATAATTGACTAGAACAGTGTTTCTAAACCAGTGGTACAAGTACCCTTAGGGGAACTTGAGAGTAGTCTGGGGGGGGGTACAACAACACAACTCAAATTTGGAGAAAACTCAATTTTTGCTTTAAGTTTTACAGCGTTTTATTATTTTTGTACATTTTACACCCCAAAATTTCATCGCCCACCCGGCTACAATTAAGTTGTTTAAACAAATGTGTTGCAATGGTAGAATCAAATTTTGTGTGTCTGAAAACTGTAGGTACTGGGGGTACTTACCTTTTTTTTAAAAAAAGGGGGTACTCACAATTTTTTAAAGGGGTACTTTATAAAAAAAAAGGTTGAGAAACACTGGACTAGAACAGCAGCTTCTTTCTTTTCACTGAATATCACAGAATGTAATCACCAATCACGTGACCTTTTACAATATCCACAGTGCTTTCCCTGACAGAAAACCTGCCCTCAGCTACCTCACAGTCAACAAGTTTTGGACATTCCTTTAGACTCAACTTCACTTGAACAGTATTTGTAGCTCTCTCTTATTTGCTTCTCACAAACACTTAGGGAAGCTCATTTTTGTTCACAAAAGCACGTGGAAAGGATGTGTGATTTGCATGTACCCTGGGGAAGAGGTGGTATTCAGTGTACATGTTCTTTGGTTTGCCTTCCCTGTAACCTGCAGGGAATACCTGTGGCAGCAGGAGACTGAATCAAAGTATGAAAGAGTTTAAGGGACACCTGGATTTGTTTCTGGAAGAAAGGGGAATTAAGGTATATGAAATTAAAGCAGTGGATGAGATTAAAGTCCATGGAGGGAAAAGGCAGGCATGTTGAGTCAGATGCATTATTCCTAAAGCTCCTCACCTCCTCCAATCATTTAAAAAACAAACAAACAAACACTGTAAACTAAAATTTACCCAGATTTACATCTTTTAAAATCCATATTTTCTCCTCTCCTTACTGTTTGCCTAAATGGGCACATTTATCAGTTTTGAAAAGCTAGCTCTTTGCACCTTCACAGCCTGTCTGTTTTACCATGGGAATATGAAACACAGCCATGTTATTCACAGTAAGATGACACAGCAATTCTGCAGCTCCAGATTGGATATTACCTATTTCCAATCATACCTAAGCCAGACACTCACCAAATCCGTGTTCCATCCATGGCCAAAGTTGCTGCACTCAGTTTGTCCATTTTAAAATAAAGCCCTGGACCAGGGATCGGCAACGTGTGGCATGCAAGATGATTTT